GGTGCTTGAGACAGCTAAAAACTTTTTTTGGGTAAATCTGTCAATTCCTTATCAATGACATGGTACTTCAACAAGAGTTACTATGAATATTTAACAAATAGTAGGAAGGAGAATACTAACATGTATTAAAAACCAATTAAATGCCAAGCCCTCTATAAAATCTTTGTACACTTTATCATTTCATTTTTTCTGTATCTTTCCTTCTCTAAAAATGTCTTAAATTATCTCATATTTTCCATAAACAATCATTAACTAATAAAAACATACAGTAGCCTACATATAATACTGTGTATGATATATTTTCATAAACATTTTATATAATTTATATATATACATATACACACAAAATAACTTACTATTTATAAAAATACAATTTCTAAAAAGCAAGAAACAACATATCTTGCAACTCTAAGAACCTCATTTATACTTCCCGTATGCTGTAGACACAGCTCAGAAACTCAGATGCAATGCTTATGAATATGTATGAAGTATAATTAGCTTGGAAAATGCTGCTTCATCACCTGTCCTGATATTGTTGATGTGCTTCGGTGACTTACTAAGCAATGTTGGAAAAGGAACTCTCCAAATTCCAATGAGTTGAAACAGTTCCATTCATCCATAACATGTTAGTAGTTTTCATTCTGTTATCGTATGAAAGGCTGTTCTTTTAAACCTGGGCTGTGGATGTACTGTTTCTGACTGACAGTTGTATGTCATCAGCCCTTTACTTTAGTATTTTGGAGTGCTTCTTGAAACACTGAAAACCTGTCTATCCCTCCGCATCCCTTGAACACAAATCTCTCATTTCCACTGCCCTTGCCTAAGGTTACAACTTTTTTTCTCTAACCTATACTATGATTATAGCCGATTAGTGTCTCCTTTTTCTGCCACACACCTGCCCAGTTCATCTTCCTGGACTAAAGCTCTAACCATACACTTACTCAGAAGCTTTCAATGGCTCCATGTTACTTATTGCCCAGTGTTTTTAGCCTGACATTCAAGCTTTCCAGAAATTGACTCTAACCTGCCTAACAGCCTTAGTTCTTCATACTGCCCTTCATAAACTCTACAGTCCTTTGCAACTGAAATACTTGTTCTGTTCTCCGCACATCAAAATTTCCTGCCTCCTTGGGGCAACTGTGTGGCTCAGTCAGTTGAGCATCCAACTCTTGATTTCAGCTCGGGTCATGATCTCAGGGTCCTGGGATTGAGTCCCACGTCCTGCTTCACACTTGGTGGGGAGTCTGCTTGAGGATTCTCTCCCTCTCTCTTTGCCCCTCCCCCCACTCATGCTCTCTCGCTCTCTCAAATAAATAATAAATAAATCTTTAAAAAAAAATTTCCTGCATCCTTGCCTTTCCTTCCCTTACCTGAGCAAGGAATGGTTGACTAAAAATCCAGGAAGAAATCATCAGCTTCCTGAAAAGCACGAAAGACAAGATGCTTGGGAGCAAAAGAGAGGTGACATTCATAAATGCAAGAAGATAGGAAATTAGCAGCAGGGAAGTCTATCAGCAGATGGACTTTAGTTAGGGCTCAGTCATGTTGTTGGATAAATGTGCCAAGGTCCAATGAAAGATCAGTAAGTTGATAATCAGACTAATCAGAAAAAAAATCAATATCCAATATTCAACATCAGGAATAAAAGAGGTAAAATCAGTACAACTTCTGCAGACAATAAAGGATTAAAAAAAGAAAATTATTAATGACTTTATCCCAGAAATTCAACAATTTGAATGAAATGGACAGATTCTTTGAAAATTACCAACTACCCAAACTCACAAATAACTAACTTGAATGTCCATTAAAGAATTGAATTTGTACTTAAAAACCTTTGTACGCACATATGTACACACATCCCACACACAAATTCAGCCCCAGATGATTTCACTGGTGAATTCCATGAAACATTTAAGGAAGAAGTAATAAATTCTTCAGAGAATTGAAGAGAAAATATGTCCCACCCCATTCTATGAGGCCAGGATCACTCTAATACAAACCAAAGACAGTACGAAAGAAAATTTTAAATCAATATCCCTCATAAACATAGATGCGAAAATTCTTGACAAAGTTATAAAAATCAAATCTAACCATTTATTAAGATAAGCTACAAACTAGTGGAATATATTTGCAAATTACTTGTCTGATAAAGGATTTATATCCAAATTATACACAAATATCTTTCAAAATTCAGTAACAACAAACAACCCAATAAAAAATTGGGCAAAAGATTTAAACAGATGGAAAATAAGCACATGAAAAGGTGCTCAAGATTATTTGTCACAAGGAAAATGCAAATTAAAACCAAAATGATACACCTATTAGCATGTCTAAATTTAAAAAGACTGACTACATCAAGTACTAACAAGGATGTAGGCAAACATAATTCTCATACACTACTGGTGGGAATTTAAAGTAGCACAAATAATTTGGAAAACAAGTTGGTAGTTTCTTAAAAAGTTAAACATACTACTATATCATCTAGCCACTCCACTTCTAGGTATTCACTCCAGGAGAAAATGAAAGCATATGTTTATCTAAAGATTTATACACAAATGCAACTACAACTCAATTTACAATGGTCAATGCTGGAGATGAGTGAAAGAAGCCAGACAAGAGAACAAACTAGATGGGCCCATTTATATAAGATTTTGTAAAATACAAATTAATAGTGATGGGAAGAGGAGCAGTGTTTGTGTAGAGATGCAAGGAAGGGTGGAAGGGAGAAAAAAAGAAATGAATAGTTCCTCTACTTTAATTGTCGTGATGGTTTCATAGGTGTCTATATGTCAAAACTTACCAAAATGTAAATTTTAAATATGGGAAGTTTACTTATGTCTCAGTAAAACTGTTGAAAAGTGTAAAAATGCAGACAAAAAATGAATACTGGTCACCATTGTCCATAGTCCCTCAATTTCCCCAGCTCAAACTTTAGCCTCTTTCCATGTTGTCTGACTTTTCTCCCTCTTTTCCTGTGACTTCATTTCATTATTTTCTTCCTTGCAGCAAATCA